TCACGGTTCATGAGTTTGAGCCCTGCATCAGGCTCTGTGCTGAGAGCTCGGAGTCTGGACCCTGCTTCAGATTCTGTGTGTCTCCCTTTCTCTCTGCTCCTCCCCGCCCCTCCCTTTCTCTCTCAAAATTAAACAAACTTAAAAAAAAATTTTTTTTAATGAAAGCAGAAACCACTGGATGATAAGCCTGCTTCCATGAGTGGATATGTTTATTGTCTTGTTTGCAAATATGAACAATCAAGAATCAACAGAAATGTGGAAGAAGAAAACAAAAAAACATTGCAAAATGATGGAGGCTAGCATAATCAAACAAAGTAGGGAAAATGACCTGGGAGAAATAGAGATAATTCAGGGAACAGAAAATGATTTTTTTTTTTAGTCTCTTGTTGTTACTCTCAAAAAATTCAAGAAAACAATGCATTCATAAGGCACCAGGAAGTTATGTTAAAATAGTCATTACATAACCAGAAAGAGCTCTTATCTTAGAAATTTTAAGAAAATATATGATTGCCGCAATTCCTTAAGCCAAGAAAGGGTTGGAAGATAAAGTCAAGATAGTTCTCAGAAAGTAGAACAAAAAGACTGTAAAAGAAAAAATATAACAGAAAAGATAAGAGACTCAGAGAATCAATCCAGGCAGTTCGACAGTCCACTTTTAGGAAATCCAAAAAGAGAAAACAGAGCAATAGAAATTCTCAAAGAAACGAAGACCAGTCCTCAGGTTGAATGACCCCACCTAATGCTAGCAACTCCCGTGGGGAAAACACTTATGCCCAGCACCGTTGCTGTAAACTTTTAGAACACTAAAGACAAAGATGGGATCCTAAAAGCTTCCGTGAAAGAGAGGGAAATAAACAGATTATCTACAAAAGAACACAAACCAGGCACAGAGCTGGGTTTGGTCCATGGTCCCGAGTCTGCCAGCACCTGGGCTGGGGTTCTACATCCACAGGAAGTATGAGGCAGCCAAGACATGTTGGGACATGGAAAGACTTAGAAGCTTGCTTCCTTTTCCCAGAAATTATCGGGGGAAGCATTCCATCAAAATAAGAAGGTGAGCTGAGGCGAGGACATAAAGTCCAAGAACCAATGCATCCCACTCACAAAGATAATGAAAGGAAGCCCCAGAATGAATGACAGCTATGTCTGATGGAAACTGAATGCCAGTCTCACTCTCCTTCCAGCAGGCTCCGGGGCCCTAGAGGACCTCATTCCGGTCATTCAAGTGTGACAATTACACAAATCAAACAAGACCTCTTTGGGCCACCGGCCCATTTCAACTCTGATGACTCCCGTGTGGATCGGCCCATGCTCTGAGATCTCATCACCTCCACACCTACCACCTGTCACGATGATCCCACTCATTCCGGCCCGGGGTCTGCCTGCTGCCTCTTGGCTGTGCCACCCTGGGCATCCCTCAACCCCTCAGAAATCATTTCAGCTGCAGCCCCTCCATAGCATCACTGGCCAAGAAAGAAAAGCCCAGGATAAGCTTTCTTAAAATTATGATGCTCCCCTCCCCAATCGGGTTCTTAAAGTGAGAGGAACAGAAGAGGAATCTGGACCCCGGAGGGTTCAGGGGGGTGATACACGAGAGAGTGGGTGGGGCCAGGGTGCAAGGGATAGGTAGCAATCAGGAATTCTTGTCTCCCCCTCACCCCCCCCCCCCACATGAAGACAATGAATCCGGCTTTCCATGTTGAACGGCTTACATCAACATTTGAACGTGCCAACCCAGGCGACACGAGACTCAGAATCATGGAGCAGGGCACCCGTGTAACATGCCCAGCCTGACCCAACATTTCATTCTTGATGGAGGAGCCCCAACATCGATGCTCACAATTTCTCCCCATTGGCTAATATGAATTAGCAAACCCCTTCAGTTCTTTCTTTTACAAAAACGTTTTAATGTCTATTTATTTTTGAGAGAGAGAGAGAGCACAGACAGGGAGGGGAGGGGTAGACAGAGAGGGAGACACAGAATCCGAAGCAGGCTCCAGGCTCTGAGGTGTCAGCACAGAGCCCAATACAGGGCTTGAACTCATGAACTGCTAGATTATGAACTGAGCCCGAATCGGACACTTAACCCACTGAGCCACCCAGGCGCCCACCCCCCTTGGATTTTTTCTGGGATGACCCTTCTGCATATTATTCTGGAAATCCCAAGCTTAAGCCTGATGTTTACTCACACCCTTTACCCATCAAATACTTAGGTACCTACTGTGTGCCGGGCACTGTTCTAGGACAGGGGATAGAGGTGTGCTCAGGAAAAAGTGCTTGCCCTCAAGGAACACACACTCTTTTTGGGGGGAACAGCAGAAATAAAGACACCTGACATATAATGTATGAGTGGTGCCAGCTAGGATAAATATCTCGGTGTGTAAGTACCTTATTTTGTCAAAACAACCATCCAATCCTGAGGCCTCCCCAGTCCTCATCCACTTTAAATTGCCAGAGGGTAGGAACCGCCCGTCTTCCAAGCTTTGCCCTTGGTGAGCAGGTGCCTGTTTAGCGACTGTGGGTGTCCTGGGCAGCTAGTGTGCCAAATCACCACTCCACCTCTCCCCTCGGGGCCTCTCGCCTCCCACCTTCTTCCTTTATCAACGAAATATCTTTGCTTGCAAGCTGCAGAAACTTCTGACGGACCAAAGCCAAAGAAGAATTTGGTGAAAGGAAGTTGGGTGTCTCATGAAATAAAAGGAAAAGCTTTGGGGTGCCTGGGTGGCTCAGTCGGTTAAGGCTTGAGATCTCGGTTTCAGCTCAGGTCACGATCTCACAGGGGAGTTCCAGTCCCGCATCAGGCTCCAAGCGGACAGTGTGGAACCTGCTTGAGATTCTGTGTCTCCACCGCTTCTCTCTGCCCCTCCCCTGCAAGCGCTCTCTCTGTCTCTCTCAAAATCAATGAACTTTAAAAAAAAAAAAAAAAAAAAAAAGGAAAAGGAAAGGCTGATCTAGCTGGCCTTGGGAGGAAGACGGAAGGCAAGGAAGGAGTCTCTAGCAAGGGTCTTAGAACACTAAGGACCGAAAGGCTCTGTCCATTGGCCTGAAACTAGCGCAGGGTTCCCCTGAAGAGGGAGAGCCCCCGCCTGATTGGTCGGCTTGGGTCAAGTACCTGCCTTTGGGGGGTGGGGCCTCATTGTGATTGGCAGTTCCGCCAGGACCACAGATAATGCGAGGAGAGAAACGGGATGATGGCATTAAAGGAGGGGAGAAAGTGTTCTGAACCGAGAAAAGCAAAGATGTCAGCAGGACTTCTGAGCCCCTGGGCCTCTGTAGCCACCGCATCACCCTCCTCGGGGCTGTCGTCAACGGCCATCATCAGCTGAACCCCAGTTCACCCTTCCGAGCCCAGCTCAGGCGACAGCCCCTCTCTGCAGCTCTCCCTGAAGGCCAGGCGGGCAGCGTGAATTGTCCCCTCCGTGGCCCTCCCGTGGCTCCCTGGCGCTTTCCACCACACTGCTGCTGGAGCCCCTGGCCTTTTTGCTTCTCTGTCCCCTGGGGTCAGCCGTGGAGCCTTTTCATCTTGGCGGTGGACACACGTTAGGGACCCCGCGTTTCACAAATGTGTTTGGATTCTTTCCCCTCTTTGTGAGGACTTGGTACCCATTAATTTGCACCTACTGGGGATCTCCAGGCAACACTGGGGTGTTCGCTGCTGCTCTGGAAGTTTCTCTACTGACTTCTGGCAGCTCCTTTGTGTTGAAAGACTCGCCGTGAGCGTCCAAGGTGCTTTGCTTTGTTTCTGAGATGTTCCTTTTGTTCTGGCATTCTTATCTCGCTGGGCTGTGTTCCTGGGGCTGGCATTTCTCTGTAAGGGAATCCATTGTTCTGTGGACTTCCTGATATCACCTACGTTATGTCCCAATGACTCAGGACAGCACGATTCACATTCTTGGATTAAGACTCTAGGGCTTAGGGAAAAGATCTCCGGAACTGTCCCACGCCCAGCAGGCCTTCTTCTGGATTTTCTCCAGTAGTTCAGCTCTGCCATTTTATTGGGTTGGTTTGGATTTGGTGCTCTGGGTCAGTGGCAGAACCGAAGCCTGACCTCTCACCTCCTTGTTTGGAACTCTTTCCTCCGGCCTTTGTCTCGGGCCTCTTAGGTTCTGAGGAGGAGGCTCCCCGAGCGTGGGGGCAGTGATGATGTCAGATGATGGATCCCAGGGGAGGAAATTCTCAGTTTCCAGAAATCCAGGTCAGGAGCCAAAAGAAACCCTAAGGATTGGGTTCTGGGTACCTGGGTGCCTCCAGGGAGGGCACAGCAGCAAGTTCTGGAAAACCAGAGCACAAATGGTCAGAGGAGGCCACCGAGGTCAGGTTCAGGGCATCCATGGAACTAAACACCAGTCTTCAGGACCCCGGACTCCAGGGCATCTGACAGACCTAACACATCAGGGTCTGTTCCCAAACTCACCACTGGGCGGCAGCATGGAGCAACAGCATGGGACTTCCGGGCTTGCGGGCTTCCTGTGAATTGGGTCCTCGGGTGGCCTTGGCTGGTTGCTTCCTTGGCAGGGCGCTGAGCCTAAGTTTCATCATCTGTAAAACAGAAACAATAATACTCACTTCACAGGGTTGTGGTGAGGTGAAATGTAAAGACTAGAACACACATGGCCTCATTACCACCAGCGCCAGCCCGGGATTCAGGCAAAAGGCCCCACCCTGGGTCCCGTGCTTGAGAGGACCTGCGTGTCACACAGACACGCACGCAGGCACACACACACACACACACACACACACGCACACACACACACACACACCCCAAATTTGTTGGAAGGCGCCTGAGTGCCTTTGTCCCTTGCCAGGCACCCAGCACTGGGTCAGCCCTGTTTCTGGCCTCTCGGCTCCTTGGTTATAATTCTCTCCTCTATTCTCATAACTAACACCTTTCAGCCCCGTGAACGGCTTCCCAGCCTCTCGTGCCCCCTGTCCTGGCAACAAAAGGCACCTGGGTCAAACTATCGGAAGGCTGTGTGCCCCACTGCAGCCACATGGTCGCACAGTCGTTGGAGGAAGGGGTCAGCTTGCCAGACCCTTCCTCTCGGAGACACTCCAGGTCTTGCTTAGCAAATGTCACTTCGCCCATCTCCTTGTGCCTGGTCATTTCCAACCCACAGTGTGGAGCCGCTTGTGGGCCACAGTTTCCCAGGGCGACTAAGGAACACGGGGCCGTATCACACAACGCATATCACGCGGAAATGTATATAATGCGGGTGGACACATAACATTGGGTCACGTTAGCAACGCTTTCACTGGCAGCTACATGACACTGAACACTGGAATGGCGAACAGTTTAATCTAAAAAAGAAAAAAAATTGGCCATGGGGCGCCTGAGTGGTCCAGTCAGTGAAGCGTCTGACTCTTGATTGCGGCTCAGGTCATGATCTCACAGTTCATGAGATCGATGACGGGGCGGAGCCTGCTTGGGATTCTCCCTCTCCCTCTGTCTCTGCCCCTCCCCCCCCAAAATAAATAAATAAACACATAAATAAATAAACATGCAGATAAATACATAAATAAACAAATACTTGGCGAGTTGTAATTAAATTTCAACGAAAATACTTCCCAAGAGTGAACTTCATTCAAATTCTTTTAAATTTTATATATTCACTAGTGATAATTTATATTTTGCCTATGAATTTTAATAGAGTGTAGAGTATTTTAGGAGAAAACCCTTTTTAAAAGTATGTTTATGTATTTACTTTGAGAGAGAGAGAGAGAGAGAGAGAGAATCCCAAGCAGGGCTCGAACTCAGGAACTGTGAGATCGTGACCTGAGCCGAAATCAAGGGTCAGACACTTAACCGACTGAGTCACCCAGGCGCCCCAGGAGAGAAATCTTTTTGAGAACATAACAAAATAATTTCAATTTTGCTCTTTAGATTCACTTGTCTAATGAAACACAGATCTTATACACTTTGAATACAAGTACATTTAAAAAAATCTTTTAGGTCATTATGGTCAGAAGAGCAAAAATTATGTAAAAATTTGCTTAGGAGGTAATGGCGATGTTGCTGAAATGAAAGCAAGAAAAACAAATTCTATGGAACAAAGACGCAATCATTTATGAAGTATGTATGTCTATTATTTTATGAGTCATTCGGACACATGCAATAATAATTAAACTCCAGCGACTGGGACATAATTTCTGACTTCCAGTCATACGAAAACTGTGGCTCTCCATATGTTCTTTAATCTGTTGTTAGGAAAGGAGGCTCGAACTCACGAACCGTGAGATCATGACCTGAGCCGAAGTCAGACACTCGACCGACTGAGCCACCCAGGCGCCCCGGGAAAGTATATTTAGATAGAAGATACTTTATTTCCCACTTTAGCGACTTGACTGAAAACTTAAAATATTTAGACACACGGTGTGGGGACCCTCACATGTACTCTCGCCCCAGACCCACAAGCGTTCAAGCATCAGGGGTGAGCCTGACCGCCACCAACCAGAACAGGTTCTTGAGGCTTCCAGGAAAGAAGGGATGGGGAGGGGGTTCCAAGCAGGAGGGGGTTTTGTAGAGGAGGCCCACAGATCTACGTTAACTAGGACGAGTGCTCCTAATGTTGACAATAGCTGTAACCACGGTGCTTTGCAGGTACTGTTTGACTAACTCCCAACCATATCACAAATGGGTGCTATCATTATCCCCACTGTACAGGTGAGGAAACTGAGACCGTGGGAAGTGCGGCCATTTGCCTGAGAGTATCCAGTTAGCCAGTGGTAAAGCCAGGCAGCCTGACCACGAAGTTGGATGCAAAGCCTAGGGCATCCTATCAGCCAGGACCCTGCGGCACTCGGGAGCAAAGGGGTCCCACACAGTGGCCAGGGGGCTGACATGGCCCCCGACACAAGTCCCAGCAAAACGCACGGGCTCTTGTGCTGCACAAGGCATCCGCCCACACCTATGTGGGTGTCCCTACGCCCCAGAGTCGTCCGGTCCCTCTGCCTCCTAGGGTCAGCCTGGGGCACAGTTCCACGGGACAAGTGTCTGCTGTTTCCTGTCCCTCCCCACGACCCCCGCACCCATGACGGCTCAGTGAACACGGCGGTGACCCGAAACACGCTCACCATCCCTCAGACGCCACCACTGCCCAGTGTGTCCCAGCCCAGCCCCCTCTGTCACCTGATCCCCGAGCCGGCGGCACCTGCTAAGTGGGCTTTTCTCTTCCTTGCTGTTGCCCCTCCTGTTGGTTCCCTCGGCAGCCAGCACCATCTGGTCCAAACTCAGATATGAGCAGGGAGGCCTCCCGGTGTAAAACCCTTCACTGGTGTGCCATCGTTCCCTGGACAAAGACCAACAAGGCGCGGCTGTGCCATTTTACAAGGACGTTGGCGTTGGCGACCTTATAAAAGATGACAACAGGCCCACGCCAAGGAGTCTTGTTCTTTACTCTCCATCACAAATGGAAGAACCCAACTGTGTGACCACAGCTGTACAAAGCCTGTTTCCAGTGGAGGGACAAGTCTCCCCGGGCTTCAGGTGCCCCCAGCTTCTCCCCCATTGGGATGAAAATGCCAGTGATCTCTCCTCCTCATGGGGGATTCTGGGGCCCTCTCCAGCATTCTGTAAGCTCTAGGCCACCTGCCCAGCATGCTCAAGGAAAACGCATACCGTGAGGTGAACAGGAGGTCAAGTTCCCGAGGTCAGCTTCCCAGCGAATCATGCCCGTGGAGGCCCGCCCGCCACAGCACAGCTACCTCAGCCCCCTTTCAGCCCCTCCTGGATCCATGTTCCTCAGACCACAGGGCCCTTGCACAGGCTGTCTCTCTACCTAAACTCTCTCTGCTCTCCTCTTCACCCAGCTAACTTCTTGAGATCCCCGCTAAGTCTCTTCTTCCACAGAAAAGTCTTCACGGGTCCCCTGCCCAGATCAGACACCGTCATAAATGCTCGCATGGCCCCATGGAACATCCTGTCAAACCACTTATCCCTATTTGCAAGTTTCCCTTCCGTATGTAATTACTAAGGTCTGTCTCCCCACTGGACTGTCAGCTCCATGAGGGCAGGAATCACAGTGTATTTTCGCTCGTCAGCGTAATCCCCAGCCCAGAGGAAGTCCTCAGTATAGGTTATTGACTGACCAACAAATCCTTTCAGGAATGAGGTTACCCCCGCTTTGCTGGGAGAGGTCTGCGGGCTTCTTCGGGCTCTGAGGGAAGCAACAGAAGTGACAAGACCGAGCAGATGAAGGGCCCCCAGCATGGTGCCTGCCACACATCGGGAGCTTAGCAAACGGTAGTGGTTTTGCCATTTTTATTGTTAAGGTGATGACAATGATGGTGACAGCTTCTAAGCTACTAGGAACACGTTCACACCAGGAGAAGGAAGACGCTGCTTCGAGACTGGGCTCTGTTCCTTCTCCTCAGCCCCAGCTGACCACCCTTCATCAAGGAAGGTAAAATCTGCCGAGCGGGGGCCAGCGTCCTGCACGAGGGCTGGGGCCCTGGCCTGGCCGCACTGATACGCCCCAGGAGGGGTAAGTCACCCCTTTGGCCAGGGAAGGAGGAAGGGAAGGAGGGGCCCGGCACCTGTGGGTGCCTCCCATGGGCATGGCATCCTGCAGAGAACTTGACACCCTTCATTTCCTTTCTGTCTGGTCCCGAACTCCCAAAGGTGGTTCTAATGATCCGCATATTACGAATGACAAAGCTAAGCTCAGGGAGGTGACGGGGCTGGCCAAGGTCACACAGGCCCTGAGCGGCAGGGCAAGCACTCAGGTTCTAATCTCGCTGATGCCGGGACCCCGGCACTCTCAACCACATCGCGTCACTGTGTGAAAACCACCTGTATTTCCCAAATGCCTGAAACTCTCCTCCATATCCGAGTCCTCCGCAGCCCCCTCCCCCCAAACCTCAGATGAGGACACCGCTGCCTGGAAGCCTGCCGGGATTTCCTTGCCTGGCTCTGGCCCCACCATCCTTGGTTTGCTGCCCCAGGTACACACGGGGCAGGGGCCGGTAGGGGCCCCATCCGGACCAGGCTGGGAGTCAAAATGGCTCACCAAAGGACTTGCCTCAGAAACCCAGCCCTTCCCGGGGAACACCCTTATGCTGCTGCAGGAAGGGCTGGGGGCCAAACCTCCCAGGAATCAAAGCTCATTTTCAGCTGTTTAGACGTGGCTCCTCAGTGACTCACCGTTTGGGTTCTCATGACCCAGGCCAGGAGCCAGGGGCTGTCAGGAGGTGCCCTTATTAAAATCAAAAGGCAATGGTGAGCAAAGGGGAGCCCCCTCTCTGGAGACCATGATTCACAGCTGCTGGGTGACCCTGGCCAGGGGCATTCACCTCCCTGGCCGCCCACCCCCACCACCCCGTCTTGTCCAGGAGGATGAGTTCCAAGGAGGAGTCCGGAGCAGGAAATGGGAGGGGCGCGGGCAGGCCCGCAGCCCAACTACGTCAGTGTTTACCCGGCTTTACACTTGTGTTAAAAACTTTTAATCTGGATTCACTGGCAGAGATCCCGCCACCCAGCCGTCTCTTCCCCTCCCAGGGTGGTACCCTCCCCCTCCCTGGGTGTCAGGGAACGTGTGTGGGGGCATCTCACCTGGCTGCGGAGTGAGACCCGGCCTCCAGCCTCCGCACCAGGTCAGCTCCTGAGGAGGGAGGCCTTACTGCCTGGTCACATCATGACTTATGCTTTCGTGGGCCCTTTCTTCCATTAAAATAGAAGAAAAAAAAAGAAAAGAAAAGAAAAGCAAATGTTATGACCACATTGGTAGGAAGACAGAGAGAATCCAGGCTGGATTCCTGTCATTCTGATTCTAAAGAAATTAAAACATTGTGCCCCCCGCCACAGGCATTGTGCGTGCTATAGACACTGTGCCCCCCAACCCCCCGGAAGCACTAGGTAAGCCCTTGGAACTGTCTGGACCCTGATTCTGGCTCACCGTGTATTTAGATGTGTGCCTCAGTTTGCTCCTCTGTAAAATGGGGATGATCGGAGCACAGGCGTCACGGGGCTATTTGAAGGCTGCTTGAGATCTTGCCTAAAGAGCACAGTAAATACTCGGGGGTGGAGGATGGGGAGGCTAGCTGCCTGCTCGCATCTGTGCTTCCTATCCTCCCAGGAAAGAGGCAAGGGTGGGATGCCTTCCATCCCCATAATACAGATAGGAAAACTGAGGTGACACACAAGGGAAAGGATCTGCCTAAGGCCGTGGAATAAGTGGTAGAGTCAGGACAACTAGGCCGCAGATCAAGCAGCTCCCAGGTCCTGTGCAAATGGACGTGGCTGGTCAAGTTATCCCAGCTGCAGACCAGGAACGGGGAGGGCAGGGCAGGAGGAAGTCACCAGCCAGGACAGGGCCACCTTGCTTCCAGTTCTGCCTGTGTGGACTCAGGGGGGTGGGCAGCAGCCAGCAAACAAGGCCACTCGTGAGCCCACGACCGCTGGGACTTTGAAATTGCTAACCACAACAGGACGGGGCCCCCTCTTCCATCCATCCCCCTGTCCTCTAGCCAAGCCCTGAAGCCTGGCCTCCACCTTCTGACCTGACCGTGGGGACAGCAGCTCACGGAGGGGGACAAGCTGTGCCAGGGGCTACCATCTCCCCAACTCAGCCCCTAAGATAACATCAAAAGGACAGAAGTTTCCAGTCCATGCTGGAATGTGGTTTTCCAGCTGACGCAGACAGAGCCTACTTCCACAGCCCCACTGCCTGGGGATCTAGGGAGACAGAAGTCACTTCTAGGAGCGTTTTCACTGCTCGTCAAACAAGCTGGAGCCTGCCCGGGGAAAAAACAATGAAGAAAAATCCCAAAGCTCAGCTGGCTGAGCTCCCGGCCTCCGGCCTATCCGATCTTGGACAAATGGCCCTGCAGGTCCCCAGGGTCTTGCCTTCCCAGGGGTCCAGCTGTTCTTGGCACTGTCCATCTGGGTAACATGGTGGCCGGGGGTGGAGGACAGGGAGCAGAGGGCACGCCCGAGTAGCTAGCGGCATGGAAACAGACAGACTTGGCCATGCGGACTCAAGTTCCGTAGTTTCTCTGGGCCTCAGTTGCTGCATCAGTAAAATGGGGATGAGGGAAAGTGCCAAGAATGAAAAGCCCTCGGCGCAACCCCTGGCTCACAGCCCAGGCGGTGGGAGCTAGCACCGTGAGTTTTGGAAAGGGGTAGGTGAAGGGGAAGGCTACAGATTGCTCCCCTAAAACCGCCTGGAAGCAAAGCCCACAGGCCCCAGGCCGGCCCCTCCCCTGGGGACTTGGCCAAAGACCTAGAAGTACGGTTGCATCACTGAGTATTCAGGGGTTAATGATGGGGAGTGGACAGGACCCAGTATTTAACTAATTGGGGAGGTGCCCTGAGATCAGAGGCACCCCGCTCACTTCCTTCTCCTGCAGCCCTGCTCCTCTGCCCCCTGCTCACCTCCCCTCCCCCCCCCAAGGATGAAGCCTCCCCCTCTTCTGACCTTCCTTTGCCTCCTGGGTAAGTGACCTATGTGGCCTTCCCCCTCCCTCCTCCCCAGCTGGGAACAGAGCTCCCCGGAGGTCCCGGAGGGTGTGGTGGGTCATGGCCAGGCCAGCTCTGCCCGAGCCAGCACAAGCTAGGGGGGGAGCTGGAGGGGGATGCAGGCTGGGTGGCCCGGGAGGGCACAGGAAAGGGGCTGGTGGGAACCCCAGATAGCACACATGAGTCTCCTGCCACCTGCACTCCACCCCCTGCCCCATTAGCTTCCTTTCTGGGCTCCAACCTGCCTGGGTGGGCTGTCCCTTCCCCCCCCCCCTCCCACCGCTGCTGTATCAGCAGGATCTGGAGGTATTCAGGGGAAGCACAGGTGGTCATGAAGCCTATCCAGTAGCATCTGATGGGACGTGGTGGGGACAGAGTGCTCTGAGGGCATGGCGCTGACCCCTGGGGAGACGCTCAGGGCCTACCGGGAGACGTTTGAGGGGGCAGCGGGGGTGGGGACAAGCAGGATGAGTGGGTGGTGCTCTGGAGATGAGGGAGGAGAGCGGAACGGGCCCTGGGCATGTTGCCATGGGGGGCGGGGTGAGCACTGGGGATCAAGGTGGGGTGCATGGCCCGGAACACGGTTACTGATTAGCGCTGTTGTTGTTGGGAGCAAGGTGCTCGGCAAGGGAGGGTTAACTGGACAGCCGGGGAGGTGTCTGCACTCCGATCTGAGGGGGCTTGGGGGAGGCTGGCTGCCCCGGGTGGGGCCCTGACAGATCTGCCCTCTGCCCTCCCTGCCCACAGTGGCCCTGGCTGGCGGGAACCTGGTCCAGTTTGGGGTAATGATTGAGAGGGTGACGGGGAAGCCGGCACTGCAGTACAATGATTACGGCTGCTACTGTGGCGTTGGTGGCTCCCACTGGCCCGTGGACCCAACAGACTGGTGAGCAGACGGCCCCTGGAGGGGCTTCCCCAGGAGGGGACACCTAGCAAGTGGAGGCCAACCTCTCCTTTGAGACCCCTTTGAGCCCTGGGCCCCCCAGCAGCCCCTGATCCAGCTCACCCTGACTCACGGGCCCCCCTCCCCAGGTTGACCGTGACCCTTACAGGTGCTGCCATGCCCATGACTGCTGCTATGGGCGTGTGGAGAAGCTGGGCTGTGAACCCAAACTGGAAAGGTATCTCTTCTCTGCCAGCAGGCACAACATCTTCTGCGGTAAGTGAAGGGCCCCGGAGCACCCCAGACGCTGGGTAGGGGTGACGGCTTCAGACAGGAAGCCCTTCCTGATGGTGGTCGCGGACTCCTCATCGGGGCCAGGCCCTGGGCTAGAGACGTGGGAGAGGTGGGTCTTCCACTATCACAGGATTGCAGACAGGACTGTCCCTCCCTCCACCCGGATGCTCACCCTGGCACCCGCAGGAAAGATCCCCTGACCCCTGGCGTCCTGCCCTGGCCCCAGGCGCTCCTACCGAGCCAGGGGCCTCCCAACTCCAGCCTCAGGGAAGAGGAACAAAGGGGGCGGAGCTGAGCCAGGTCAGAGAAGCTGCCCTCACATGGCCGCTCCAAAGCCTGGGCAGCAAGGTCCAAGGCAAGGTCCCCAGGACAGAGACTCGAGAGCACGGTCCCAGACAGAGAGATCTGGAGCTGCGATGTGGGACAGCAAACCCCCTCTCCAAAGGCTGACTCCCCCCTCCGCCCCAGCCGTGGGGCTGTCATTGGCTCAGCTTGGCCACATCCAAGGCCCACGTGGGCCAATTAGTTTTCCTCGGTCCCCAGCACCGATCCGCTGGAAGTGACCTGACCCAAGCAACCGTGTGAAGGGTTCCATGCAGCCCAGCCCAGTGGAGGGAGCCCACATCAGAGCCCCAAACCTTGTCCCTGATGCAAAACCAGGAACAGCCTGGAAGGAGGGGGAGCTGAGGGAGGGGCACAGCAGAAAGACCCAGGAGGGTCAAAGAAGCCAGCTCAGATCGCTAAGGTCTATCCTGGGGCAGGGGCAGCTCCAGGACCAGAACAACCGGAGGCAGATTTAGCTCGGTTCCTTGTTCCTACAGCCATCTATCTACTCAGCTAGACAGCTCTGACAGGTAGTGAGTTCCCCGTCCCCGGCAGTTTATGCGAGGTGGAAACAGCCACCTGTCGGGGATAGCATTGAGAGGATGGTTGAGGAGAGATGTCAGGAAAATAGGGACGGAGGCTCAGGGCTTCACCTTCTACCCACCGTGTGACTTCAGGCAAATGGTGTAACCTCTCAAAGCCTCTGTTTCTTCATCTATAAAATGGTGCTAATCACACTCACTTCCCCAGCTTAGTCCAGCTCCTAGCAAGAACCACCCAAAAGGACTGATGAGAAACTATTAAGCCCCCTCCCATGCTGAGTTTTGCTGGAACGGCAGGTGTGGGCAGGACCCTGGTGGGAAGCAGAGGCTGACCTTTGCGGGGTAAACGAGGAACGCTGGACGTTTCTGAGAGGAGCCAGAGCCACTGAGGGCAGACAGAGGCAGTGGAGGGAACAGGAGGCTCTGGGGCTCCCCAGCGCCAGCTCCGATCCCAGGCTGGGTGTGGGGACACACCCTAAGATAAATGCCAGAAAAGCGGGCTCTGTCCACTCAGACAGAGACGGGCCCAGGGCCCAAGCGGGCCCCGAGCTTCGGCCCCAACAGGCTCCAGTCTGGGCCCAGGCTGCTCTGGGGCACACAGGCCACTCGGGACTGAGTCGCTGTCATTTCATGGCTCCCCTGTCAGCTTGATGGCCTCACTCGGCCACCAGCCATGCCTCATGCGGCGAAGGGGCTGCCTAGAAATCCCCCCCAGGCTGGAGCGGATGTGGTAGTGAACCTGATGGTCTTCCCACCAGCCGGAGGGTCAAGGGTGATGTGTGGGCCTGGGAGAGGAAGAACGGACATCACAGACATCCCCCCTGCCCCAGCGTCCTGGGCCCCCACGCCCCCACCCCCGCGCGCCCTGCCCTGACTCTCACCCACGCCTGAAACGGCCCCCAGGGGGGCAATGGGCTTCCGGCAGAGTGGGACAGAGAGCGTGGACCCCGGAGAGCGGGAGGCCTAAGCCACATGGTCCCTGACTCACCTTGTCCCGCCAGCCGGCAGAACCACCTGCCAGCGTCAGACCTGCGAGTGTGACCGGAGGGCTGCCCTCTGCTTCCGCCGCAATCTGGACACCTACAACCGCAGCTACGTCCGCTACCCCAACAAGCTGTGCAGCGGCCCCACGCCGCCCTGCTAGGGCCTGGCCCCACCTCCTGCCTGCGTCCGGCCTCCAGCTGCTGTAGCCCCGGGGCCTGGGCAGCAATGACACCACCAGCCCTCCCTCCGGAAAATTCCTTACCTGCAAACCCATCCCTCCCTGAGAGCTCCCAGAGTGTGGTCGGGACCGTGGCTGGCCTCCTGGGCCACATCTTCCCCCCTGCTGGGAACAGCCACCGTGCCCAGGAGCCAAGGAGCCAAGGGACCCTTTAGCCCCCCGAAGATTCTATAACCCAGCCCCGAGATCTCGGTTTCCGCTTCTGAATAAGTGAATAATGTCCCGTAATCCTAATATTCCCTGATTCTCAGATTCTATCATTATAGAATTTAATTAGTTTACAGTTTCTTTCATTCATTCCCTTTTTTTTTTTTTTTTTTTTTTTTTTTTTGAGACTTTTTTTTGAGTATCGTGCTAAGCACTGGGACACAGCAAGAACAGATCGGACATGGGTGGCCCCTGCGTGCAATTCTAATATTCTGTCCTTTTAATTTCCCCTTATAGTAAGTTTTTGTGATTCTCTTTTTCTAACATCCTACAATCTTATCCAACACAATAACGGCCATCTCCAGAAGGAATATATTTGGCCATATGGCACAATGCGAGAAGCACGAAAAATACCAACCTAAAAATATTGTCCCGCTGTGTCATCAGGCTTCAAATCCCTCCCATTAGCAGAACGGCTAAGTGTGAAAAGGAGCTCTGGAATCATTTTATCCAGACCCTTCCTTTGACAGAGAGGCAGCCAGGGGTCAGAGAGGGGAAGTCCCACCTGAGGGGGCGGCCTCACGCCCAGCCTGCGTGTCTCTGTTTCTTTACAAGGCGGTAGCAGCCAGTGACACTCTGCTGTGGCCATGTCAACCCAACCCTCTGGTTGTCATCTTGGACAGCCTAGAGTGGCCAGGGAAGGTCCGCTGGGAGGGTGCCCAGGCCGGGTCAGCCTCCTGATACAGGGAGGGGAAGAGGAAAGACTTCAGCCTCCGCCACCATGGGGCTGACTCTGTACCCATGAGGAATGTAATGCCCCAAAGGATTCCCCCCATGCTGGATGCAGCCTACCCTGGAAGCAATGTACTTCACCAAATTCTCCTAAATATTGGACAGAGTATCTCCACTAGCTACAATATGCTGATAAAATCTGCCAGGATTGGGATGTGCCCATTCAACGGGCAAGCATGTGAAAAGGTATTACACGGCGGGGGGCAGCTCACAGCAGATATGTAATAGGTGTTCACTCCTATCCTTTTCATGACTTATATGCAACTTCCAACACTTTGAGGGCAGGAAAGAGCAGGAAGAAATCAAAGGGATGATCATCATAAACTTTGAAAGGTGAAGAAGTCCTGTGTTAGTAAAAACAAAGTGGGGGTCGGGGTATGTGCACTTTGCCGCCGTGAATGATGCCAATCCTTGGTAAAGACTCCGGGGAAGACCAGGTCTTAAAGCAGAAATGAATGGGATTTGGGGAAAGAGCCAGGGCGCATTGGTGGGGGAAAGTGGTCCTGAGGCGCCCTCTGGTGTCCATTTGGGTTAGGCTGCGAGGAGGAACCCTAAACTCAGCTTAAACTTGGATTTCTCTTCATCAGTGGGGGCTACTGCTTCTGGGCTAGTGAAAGCGGTTCCTTGGCATTGTCAATAATAAATATGGTGAGAAATAACCACAAGGCCCTTACAGACATCTTACAGTGACCGACGTTGCCACATAAATGAGCAACACAGGAAGGAGGTAACGGGCTTGGAGAGATGGAGGGAGGTCATGTTCTGGGCGTGACGGATGTGAGGCAGCCACGAGACAGGCACCTGCTGACTGGACAGCTGTGTGGCCATCTGGAAAGTGGAACTCAAGGACTGGACCTGGTGTAGCCTGTGTTCCCGCTGATCAGCAAATGTCTGGTGAACGAATCAATGGGTCTAAATTCCACGTATGTTTCCGTACACACACTTCATTTCCAGCTGCAGACTCAGGGAAGGGACTGAAAAACCCTGGACTGGAGATCACAGGTTCTTGGTCAACACCTCTCTGCTCAGCCAGTTAGCAACAGTGCGTCTGTTCCAGACCTGCTGCTCAGGGAGGCCCGGGACAGCAGCAGCACCTCGTTCGAAATTCAGGGAGCAGGGACCTTGTTCGAAATACAGAATCTTGGACCTGGCCGCAGACCTCCTAAGGCAGAATCGATAGGTTAACAAGACCCCCGGGTGATTTGTGTGCACACTGAAATCTAAAAGAGCGCTGACATGTGGCCAAACGAACAATGACACTTCCCTGGCGGGCGGGTTGTGGCAAGGGTTCGAGAAGTTGGCATTTATGAAAGTACGCAAAATAACGCTTAGCACATAATAAGCATTCCTGTTCTAGGAATGAATGAACGAATGAATGAATGATGGCCATAACAATAACAGCTAACACTTTATTAAGTATTTGGCATTTACGAGGCACCGCGCTAAGTGCTTTAGGATTATTAATTCATTGAACGAACGAACGAATGAGGCATAGGGCTCTATCAAGGCTAGAGGAGGGACTGTGTTACCTGAATGTTTCTTGGATTACCTCTCCAATGCTGATGACATGCTTTGGACTGACTTGCTTTGTTCCCACTTAACCCCTAACAAGAGCTCTTCACGAAATGTTTGATTAAGTAACTGGCTGAGTAAGTGATTAGAAATCAAATCACCTTGGAATTCCCGAGTTAACCTAAGAGTCCGATCATGATTTCACGGACATTCACCTGCCTCTCTGGGGCTCTTCGCAGTGTCACGGCTGGAGATCCGAACGCTGCCTTAACGTCCCTTCCTTCCTTCGGTAAGCCTGGGTACACGGCTGGTCCCTTGACAAATCACGTGGGGCCAACCGGCAGGCAGACACAAGTTATTCTACACTAGTGACCGCTTTCACAGAGCTAAGACTGGACTCTCAGGACCTCCATCGTCCGGCCGGTCCCCCATCCTGTCCACTGATGCCAGCTTCATCTTCCCCCAGTTTGATTTCCATCACGTCCCTCCTCGGTCCCTGAACCATCAAATAGCTCCTATCGTCCACCCAAACCCTGGCGTTCAAGCTCGGTATCATCTGCTTTTCCAGCCTCATCGATCCAGCCATATCTTATTTCTTAATCCTCTCCATCGTTCGCAGAACCTGGCGGGGGGGGCCCCCCCCCGCTGCCTTCCAGCCTTCACCCCTCTGCACAATAGCTCCCTTCGACCTGGAAGCTTCCCTGTTCGCATGTGAAAATCCACACGCTTTAGGTGCATCTCAAAGGCCACCTTTTCCATGACGCTTTTCCAGCTGGAGAGTTCACCCTCCAGCTCTGAACTGCCAGGCGATGTTTTTATACCTTTTCTGGTGCCGCTTACCCCAGCTATTTGGGTCCCTGTTTGGGGTTCCTATGTGGTGGAGGCAGATGGCCAAAGAGTCAAATCCTATCTCTGCTACCACTCTGTGATCTTGGGCCAGTTACTTATTCCCTTGTGTGTAAAATGGGGACAAAACCACAAGTTTCACAGGGCGGTTTGAAGGTTTCAGCGAGACAACCTCGGGGCGCCTGGGTGGCTCAGTCGGCTGAGCATCCAACTTCGGCTCAGGTCATATCTCACAGCTCGTGAGTTTGAGCCCCGCGTCGGGCTCTGTGCAGACAGCTCGGAGCCTGGAACCTGCTTCCAATTCTGTATCTCCCTCTCTCTCTCTCTCTCTCTCTCTCTCTCTCTCTCTCTGCCCCTCCCCCACTCGTGCCATGTCTCTGTCTCTCAAAAATAAACATTAAAAATTTTTTTTAAAAATAAAATAAAATAAAAATAAATGAGACAACCTATCCAGGGTGCCTGAAGCATCATTGGAAGCCCCATCTACGCCAGGTCACTGTATGTATATTTGCCTCCCCTCCTGCATCCGTCACACAGTACATGCTAAATAAACATCTGTTCCATTCAAGCCACAGACGCATGATAACTGGAATTATTTCAGGGAAGTGGCATCATACATATGATAAATTCTATGCTCATTTATTTGAATCGCCCCCGGGCTCGCTGCTCTGAGGGCTCATTTATCTTAAGTGGACACATGTTTGAACGTCATTAACCTTCACTGCCCTGAGCTGATGTCCCATAGAGGAAATGAGGCAAAACTGGCTGGAGAGACTGTGCGCAGCACTTTGCCTCAAGGGCTGCTACCGTGGTGAGTTCCAAAGTCAAAACACAGCACAGAGGTCAACTCCTGACAGCGTAAGGTGGTCACGCTGGGCAAAAGTACGCCTCGTCGTAGAATTGGTAGCAAAAGCCGTCAGACAGACGTTTGAAGAAATTCCCAGTCTTTCCCCAAACTAACTGTATTATCCTAATAAACTCTGTCCCCCACTCTGGGGTTTTCCTATCTTCCCTTTCAGCCCAATGCAAAAGTCACTTCCTCAACCAAGCCTTCCTTGATTTCCCTCTGAGTCCACGCGATCAGCACCTGTTAGCAATGCCTCCTTTTACGTCGTGTGTGTGTGTGTGTGTGTGTGTGTGTGTGTGTGTGTGTGTGTGAGAGAGAGAGAGAGAGAGAGAGAGACAGAGAGAGACAGAGAGAGACAGAGAGAGAGATCGTGTCTTCTCTCACTCCAGGACTGGAAACTGTTTGAGGACAGGGTCCGTGTCTCATGGTACGCCCAGAAATAAGAACCCATAGGCCATACAAGTTCAGTACAAGTTGGATGGATTCTTGGATGCCTGGATGGGTGAATAAATTAAATCAAAACAGGGTATCTTGAGGTATCTAAGTCCCTCTACCATAGGGAGGTTCAGACAAGTTTCTCCAAGGTGGGGAAGTTTCCCTCTGCCAAACCAGAACCTATGAAGTAGCAGGATTAATCTCAACCCTTTACAACCAAACAAGTTCTAAATCCTGATCCTTTACAGCCAAACAAGTTCTAAACCGCTGCATCGCTATGATCTGAGTGCCCACTCTGTCCAGCAGCCCGGATAAAAGCCACAGGGGTGCAGAACATCCTATGACAAAGTTTTATTGTATCTTAAGGCACCCGTACGCTTTCCATGTGCTGGGGGTAAGGGCTTGTAGTGTGTCTGGCAAACGACACACTTTCAACTTGGGTTTTCAACCCAGCTTTCTCCTAGGCAACCATGAAGTTAGCAGAAAGGGACACGGGAACAGCCACTTTCCCCCTTATGGAATTTCAGTGTCTGGCATCATAAACTGTCACTCACCCCGAGTAAGCAGTGCCGCGGCCTAGAGGAAAATACAAATAACGACCTTCAGTTATTCCCCACCCGGCCTGAGAACTCCAAACTCTTCTCTGTCCTTATGGGCTCAGCCATCTCACAGACAGGCCCTGATAGGAAGCCACCGACCACCAC